TTGGTCATAGTAAGAGTGATATCCATGATTGGTCTTCTGCAGGATAAGAATTATCCCGCAGTACTCTGGTACCATTCTTTTTGGTTTGTTCCAGGAAACCAAAACGTTATTTCCTGGCACCCAATGTCTTCACCTTGTTGACTAAATACAAGTAAAATCTAAAAGATATGCTTGAAATTTTTACTCAGTCTGCATGATACAACGATGAAGCGCATTCGTCAGTTCCGCCAATTCACTCTGAAACAGCTCTCCTAGCAAACCGTTTAAAGTCATCTTACCATTAAAGATATTCCACGTCCTTTAGAATGTTTGAACATACAAAAAGCTGGGTAAGTTTGTGCCCAACGTTAGGTAGCAGGTTAATCGCTTAACTGTTGGTCAGAAAGATCAAAACGCTTGGAAAAAAAAGTGGTTGTAAAATAACATTTTCTACAACCGTCAGGTGAAATGAGACAAGTTTGCCCATATTTTTGGAGAAAAATCAATATGTTTGCCCAACAGTTAGGCGATTCACCTGGTTCCTAACGCTGGGTGAAAAAAATTGCCAAATGTTTTTTTAGAGAGAGAGAGAGAGAGAGAGAGAGAGAGAGAGAGAGAGAGAGAGAGAGAGAGCCTTCTTCTGAATTTGAAATTAAGCAATCTGTCCCGTTATAATGCTGCTGTGGAATAAAACAAATTCTCTTAGTATCTAGCTTGTTATGAATGCACGCGCAGTCTCTGTACGCGTAGCAGATTATGTAATGATACCACACGCGACTCTGCGTGTGACTAGCTTATGACCCCAGAATTTTCTAGAGCTATTCCTAAGTTTTCTGGTGCAAGCTCTGGAGGTCTGATGTAAGAATATGTATCGTTAAAAGTTTACTTTTAAAAACTTACGTAATAATAAGAAGTTTGTAGAAAATGAGAAATTTCTAGAAGAGTTGAAGACTGAGAAATGCGGGCTATGGCAGACAAAGACATAGAGAGACTCGCGCACACCTAGAGAGGCTGTAGGAGTCAGCTCTACCACTGTACGAGATCTGTGAGAGATCGGTGACTCGTTAACTTCAGCACCAATTCAACCTGTGGTGGTGAGTCGTCTGTGGAACGACACCTGTAAAAAAAATTCGTCCAGATCAAGTGAATTAGTGCAGAGCTGAACTTTGTTCCAGAAGACACAGTTTGTGACCTGAATCCAGTTCCAGATTATGGGATCATGAAGTTCCCGTATTTGCGACGGCCATCACGCCTCGCAGTTACGTCTCGAGCCCGGTCATTCCTATTGGAGTTGATCTTCGCCCCCCGTCGCAGCCCATTTTTGCACCGTCAAGAACCAAACTGTTTTTCGGCATCTCCGGAGTCCAGTATTCTTCACCGTAGTGCCTACCAAGCCCTTGCACGTAAAATCTTCTTGTTTACATAAGATCTTTTCTTGATTCTTCATTGTAAACTAGTTCCAATCAACACTTTTCTCTGTTATCCTTATTTTTGACAAGCTAAGTGTAACATTCTCATTAAATCATACTTGTTAGTTGTTAGTCGTATCAGTGTGATTTTGTTTGATTTCTTTATTGCATCGGAAAAAACCAAGCTTTAGAATAAATAACAATTCTTAAATAGTTTGGAGTTTTTCGGATCGTAACAAAGTTTCTACGTTTGCTTTTAAAATCTCTGCCCTTTTGCCATCTCCCGCTCTGACCCGAGCTGCTGTTGCTCTCGACGCTGAAAGAAACAAAAAGGAGACAGTATTCAACAAATGGTAAATAAATGAAAAAAAGAATCAGAGATCGTAATTCTGTCGCTTCGCAATTGTCTGCTTTAGTTTCGCATTATTGTAATGATCTTTAAGGTGTGTCGTTCTTTTTTCTCGTTTTACGCTATGCGATGCAAAAAACATTGCAGTGAGATTATTATTCACCCAGGATTTGCACAGTGTATGCGCAGGTAATTCCTTTACCGACTGCATGGGATCACTATGGTGACTTGTCATATGATTTACTGATTGACCTCCACAGAAATACATATCGATTGACTCCTGCAGCGCTGCTCCTTTGTGGCCTTAAGATCTGGTTTTTGTTTGACCTTCTCGGCAATGACAATGCATTACGGATTAGACGATTAACCAAGAACGCATTTTATGAACAATGTAATTTAATAACTGCTCCAGCCAGGGCTCAATTAAGTATTTTGTTGGTCCAGGGCACCACTTTTCCGAAGGCCCTATTCTGTCACAAATAAAATAATCAATTTCAAAGCGTTGGTTGGCGCACCTTCCATTTTCATAGGCTTCGAAAATCGAAAGTTAACAACGAGAGGCACATTGTACGCTCCCACTGTGGGGCGTTGAATTCAACATCCTTTGCTGCATTTTAACACCGCAGTTTGAGCAGTGGTGCGTAGGCCTTCTTTTCGGGGGACCTCTGAATTTCCCGTGGGCCCTAATGCGTTTCACTTGCGTCCACATAGTGACGGAAGTGTATGTAGTCATACGTCCATCTCTGATCTGTATACATTTACTGTGGTGTCCACATAGTAACGGTAGTGTATGTAGTCATAAGATTTGAAATAAGGTATTATAAATCAAAATCACGTTTCAATAACAAAAAATGGACAATCATTTCCATGAAATACGTTTTTCGCTGACACTTCAACCATGAAAAACTAACGAGGTCAGAATCAGGGTTTGAAGTTCATCCATCCTCCACTGACAAATCATATCCAATATTTCAGCCAGACGAATAAAAACGATATTTGAAGTCTCTTTTAAAACTTGCAATTGGCTTATTATTTGTTTTAAAGGCCACTTGCAAATCTGTCCGGGACTTGCTTGGGAGAAAGAACTGGAAAAACAAAACTTATTAAACTTAAAACGTTTGACTGGTTCACTTCCAGCTGATGGACGGAATCCATAAATTGTCATCCAATCTGATTGTGCGACGAGAATTGATCAAAAAGTTTGAAAAATTGTTAACTCGGTATCAGGAATGGTTCGCTCAAATAGGGTCGAGGTCGACGAGAATGAATCATAGGCACCTGGTCTGCTCGTTATCGGCCTAATATGGAGGGCGCTATTTTCGGTTGATAAGTTTTGGAACCATATTAATAAAATACATATCATCCAACAGCAGCAGGCGCGAGACCAAAATTCCGGGAGAAGCAGTTCTGTCCCATGCTGTTTTTCCTTTTATTGTAACTTCTGGACGAGATTAGAAGCTAATTTCGGGGTCGGTTGTTGTTCTTTTCTACTTGTCTTTTAAAAACCTTTATAATTTATTGGGGGTAGAAAAAATATCTATATATAAAGATACATAGGCCTAGGTCTATGGGAGAAATTAATCACAGTGGGTTTTGACTTGCTAGCGCCACCAAGGCCAAAACACGAGTTCTGACTCCAATTACTTGGACATCTGTTTTCATTGCGTTGTTTCCATAGAGACAGGTTGGCCACTTCTCAACTTGATTACTGACTGAGTCCTATTCATGCATGGAGTGTCATTACCAGGAGAGATTGAATCGCTGGGCGAACCATTACTTCCCCCAGTGAAAGGATTCCTCTATGTGCATTTTGATATGCAGCTTGTCATTTTCTGGTTCAATGGAATGCTGGTAAACTGCCAATAAAACAGTAATGTCTCCAACTCCAACTGGTGAATTGCTTCCCGGAATCCAGTGAATTGCTTCCCGGAAAATACTTTCTTTGTTTTCTAAAGCACCATATTTTGGAGCCAATGCAATCGCCTATCTTGAAAATGCAGTAAATGCATTAACTTAGTTTCTTTACATTTTCTGGATAATGCATGCAGAGATCTAGATTTTGTTTATAACAGTAACCTGACGAATTGGTGTTCGCGGGAGTGGTTCCTCTCGTGAAATATACGGATGGCTATTCACATAAGTGGCGAATCCAGGTCTTGGCTGGGAGGGGACGCAGACTGTCTCCATCGGATACGCCACTGATGGCATTACAGTCAGAACATGGTGAAACAACGTACGTCTGGGGAATGTGTCAGGTTTTTGGAGCTTCTTTATTGTTTTCCCAAAGCAGAAGAGAAACAATTCTAGGGAAGCACTCTATTCAAGATTTGTAAGATTTCAGGAGATACAAGGCCTTAATATAGAGTGTATTCTCCGTTCATATCGGTCTGCAAACACCGCCTTATTTGCATAATCATAAATATGCATTCCCACTCTAAAAAACCGAAATTCCTTGATAATTTCCAATTAACAGTAATTGGTTGCACATTTCACATTTTCTGTGTACAAAATGTAAGAAAAAGATTGCAGGACCATTATAGATGAAATCTGTTGCACTATCCTGAACATTTTGGCGCAAAAATGAATTTCTCTTTTGCTAACTGTGACTAGAAGTTGTACTGTATAATATACATTTCGAAACTACTCTGGCAATCATCGACAAACGACGCCGCAGTGGATCTGCAAGGCAATGGTCTGATGTTGTCATTGACTTCATCACCCGTCCTGTTTGAGGTTCAGGACCTAATACGTCCCCACGCAGATAATCAAGTGTTACGCCCCTTTTTATAATCAAAGAAAAAGTAGAATCCGGGCAAAGTTAATAACATTTGACATTTCGATAAAATCGATAGTTTCCGTTACGAAAAAAA